AGTTTGGTTTTTGTTTGTCGAGAGAGGACTTTGCTTCTCAATTGCCTACTCAGTCCGAAGTAGCACCTGTTGGCAAGAGTTATCCTGCGTTGGATATTAAGATTTTTAAAGAAATATTCAACTATATAAAATGCCATAGAAGACCAGTAAAACTTACTATTCTGTTACTCCTAAACACTAATAAATTTCTCAGTGATCTACGGCTAAGGCACGCACGTACAAAATATGAAATTTGAAATAAAGTTTGTATTTTTATTGCATTGATTTCTTTATTACCAATCAATTACCAGTATAAAATGCAAGAAAGCCTTCACACGTTCAATTGGGTTTGATCATCTTTGGATACCGCCATGCCATCGAAAAACGTTTATCCACACATTCTTGCTGTCAATACCTCGTCGTTTGCGTACAATTCGTTTCGCTTGCAATTAAAAATATTCACGATTTTCATAGCTTATTAAAAACGCAATCTTGACTTATCGCAGCTCGAATCAAAACGAAAAAAAATGCCTGCCCATTCATGAGCTTTGTTCTCCGGTGGGCTTATCGCCACGCCAATATCGCACACAACGACGTAATTCCTTGGAATCCTATTAACCGAAAGCAGTCAAAAGCCACACAAACACACAAATACCTAAGTATATATGTGACGGTAGAGAAGGGATTAGATGTAAGAAGGCCCACGAATACAAGACAGAAGATAAGCATTTTGTGCGGACGCAGTTTCACAAGAAATTCTCACTGACCATAAACTACGCAACGCTCAAATATATGCATGTACATATGTATGTGTATGTGCTATGTGCCAAATTGACCAAAGGTTAACAATTATTATCGAACAAATTGTCAGGCGTGGAAACCATCGCCGACACAGATGGAATAGCGTGCCTAGCATGAAAACTGTATTGGAAGAAAATGGTGTAGGGCCACTGATGTTGATCGTGAAGTTGCACAATGGGGAAGCAATCGAGTTGGAAGTGTAGACGTACGGGCGCTTGGTTAAAGTATGCTTGTGAATTCCGCATATAATATACCGCTGGCTGCGACATACAGGCATTTGGGAGAAACAAATTCGAACCCAGTAGGCAGTTTGAGAACAATGACTTGACTTATCGACACCATGAACTGTCGTTGTTTTAGAGAGTACTTAGTCAAATAATTTTCTGATACTCTACCATCTATTACAGCGAGATTAAACATTAAATTTCCGACAAGTCATTTTTGGCCATAAACTAAACTAACCGTCAGATTACAATCATGTCTCTGAGTAGTTTAATTTTAGATGTCACTTCTTCAGCTTATAATACCACGAAGTAATGTCTTTACTGTGAAAATCTGAATTTTTGACATTCTTGACAGGGAAATATCGAATGGTTTCGGTAGGTTTAATAAGGAATTTTTAATCTTCTGGGTTTTCTTGGTCTTAAAAACAGTTCAGTCATCAATCCATAGATTAAGGAGATGTACTATAGGCTTAGAAACCTTAAACATAATAACACCGTCATGCGAGACCTATTCTTGAGTTATATTGTGGTAATTAGAACATAACTTAACTTAATGTTTGCATACATGTACTTATACCGGATTTTCCAATAGGGATGAAAGTATTGCTGCCGTTCAGGCAAGTGTTACCTAAGACTGCAAGTTATCGGTTCCAAGGCGTTCTCAAGAATTGGGACTGTGTCAAACAATAGAGTCCGTTGTAGTTTTACGTGGGTACCTGCCTGCGAAGGCCTGCTTTCTATTGCTAGAAGCACATATGTAGATCAAAACAATGCGTTGATCAGCGCCCCAAAGCATAAGTGCATGCACCTGCACCATACTCTGGAGAACCAAAGCATGAGTGCTGCACATACACTTATAATTTGGTTCCAATTGGTTAGGGTGGGACTCCCTAAGCCGCCTTGGTCGGGTTCGAGGCCGACCTAAAACCTCTGCCGTACTCTAGGTCCGGCACCCGGCCGCAATGCGACTCCACATTGGACTAAATGCCCTGCCTGCATTTAGGTTTAAACCACAGCCACCACGAATCTTCCCAAAGGGCCAAACCCAATGAGCAGATTGGAGTTTCCTCCAAGGACTAACTGCTCCCCTTGGTGTGTCAAACCATAATCTGGTAGATTTTGATTAAAAATTTGGGCTGCGGGCTAAAAGTAGTTAGGCTTTTTATTTAAAATTTAGCACAGAAACCCATTCGCCGATATATTTTTTACTAGGTTGGTATGACTGTTATTAGTCTCTGTGCCATATGTCATATAAAAACAACCACTTGCCTTCCTGAAGTACATAAAGTGCATTCGACGATTATTACCAGTGAAATTCCATTAAATTTTGTGTACGGAATCAAATTTCAGGTGTTAAAACGTTCAGAATATTGGAAAAGGCCTTCGGTGATAATTGTTTGTCGCGAAAAAGTGGTTTTGATTGGTACAAATTATTCAAAGAACGTCGAGAACGCGTTGACAACGAACCACATTCAGGACGGTCATCAACATCAATGATATTCAACGTCAATAAAATAAAGAAAAGAATGCTGGAGAATCGACGATTGACATCTTATTATTATCTTACTGGCGTTGTTGAAATATCGAAAGGATCAGGAAAAGCATTTTGAAAGATCCTTCGTGCGTAAGATGAAAAATCAAAGC